TTCTCGTATCAGCTAGGATAGTCTCCCACTGATGGGAGGGTTGTAACTGGAAAGGATGCATGCTGATATTCTATTGCTTTTGACTAATGAAAGTGATCGCTTCAAAGATACAAAATATAAAGAAGAAAAAAATCAGTAAGCGTATCATTTACGAATGCAATCTTAAACGGACAGTGATTTGATTCAACCACGGAAAACACATACAGTAGAAGATAATGATGGTAATCTAATGTCCTTAAAATGACCACGTTAATATGCTATAATATTCGGTTTTAAATGTTTTGCATCTTAATTTAGCTTGTTACATTGTCATTACCTTGCCTTGATTTAAACTATATCTTAAGTTGACCTAACCTTGAAACTAACGTTATGTGCAATCTCAGGCTCAGAGTACGTTATTCTCAGCTACCACATCTTCTATTAGGAATACATTTTTCAGTCTTTCTCCCTCCTTAGATGGCATTAATCTGTCCTCCAGCTCTAATGTTAAACATCTTGGTGTTATTTTTGATCAGGACATGTCTTTTATCCCCCCACATTAAAAACGTTACTAGAACCTCCTTCTTCCACCTGCGTACTGTCACTAAAAATAGAAACCTCTTATCTAAAAATGATGCAGAAAAACTGGTTCATGCATTTGTCACATCTAGACTGGACTATTGCAATGGTTTATTCTCTGGATGTCCAAAAACTTCTTTAAAAAAATCTTCAGTTGATCCAAAATTATGCTGCCAGAGTCTTAACTGGAGTTAGTAGGAGAAATCATATCTCTCCAGTTTTAGCTTCTCTCACTTGGCTCCCTGTCAAATCCAGAATTGAATTCAAAATCTTACTTCTAACCTACAAAGCTCTAAACAACCTAGCTCCATCTTATATTTGAGATTCTATTGTTCCGTATTTTCCTAACAGAGCACGTTGCTGTTAGACTGCAGGTTTACATGCGGTTCCTAGAGTTTCCAAAAACAGAATGGGAGGCAGATCTTTCAGTTATCAGGCTCCTCTCTTATGGAACCAACTTCCAGTCCATGAAGCTGACACATTGTCCAGTTTTAAAACTAGGCTTAAGACTTTCCATCGGCTTGGGTTTCCTGAGCTGTCCCTTAGTTATGCTGCCATAGACTTAGACTGCTGGAGGACAAACTGACCACAATTTTCACTCTGCTACTGTCTTTACTTACTCTGCTCAACCTGTTTTGTATTTGTAATTATTTTTTTTCTATCCTTAACATGTGTTTTTGTCTTTCAGGTACACCTGCACATCTGGACCTACCATTCTGTGTTCGTTTGTCTCTCATTCCTGTCCTCTCAAACCAGCCGGTCAAAGCAGATGGCCGCTTGTCCTGAGACTGGTTCTGCTGGAGGTTTCTTCCTTTTAAAAGTTAGTTTTTCCTTTCCACTGTTGCCATTGTGCTTGCTCAGGATGGGAGACTGCATCGAAGCCAAGATTCATCTTGTCTGCTGGCTTCCTTAGATAAACTTTACTCATTGGCTTTTATGTGAATGTTCCTGTAAAGTGCCCTGAGACAACTTTGTTGTGATATGGCGCTATATAAATAAACTGAATTGAAATTATATTATATATAGCTCACTCTTTGTGAAATTAATAAAGTAATGTCAATTTATGTTTTCTGACGTCAGCTACAGTAGTGGCCATCTTAAATTGGAATGGCTTCAGAAATCAATCTATCCATCCAATTATTATTTAATATTTTAAATTTTGTTTCCTGTGTCATGGTTCAAACAGACCTAACTCTGAACTGTTAATGGCAAATATTTTAAACAAAGTTCATGAGCAATCTGTTAGTACACAAAATATCTGTTGGGGATCAGGCTCAGGTACTACCACATCAACGTTAGGTCAGAATTAGTAAAACTGGCTGTGCTCTACTCTTTATGTTTTGAGTCAGTTGGCTGTGGCAACCATTTTAAATTGGGTTGACTCCAAAAGATAATGTGCATCCACACAGTGCATACTAATGCCACATGTGTGTGCACATTGTGCACAGCTGCATTAATGTAGATCAATGCACACATGCACATGGGCAATAACTTCTTTTGGCTGCTCCCTTCTTCAGGGATCGCCACAGAGAGCTAACTTGTGCGGTTTATAATGACAGTTACTTTAATGAACATTAATTGTTGAGTGCAGTCGTGCACACAGACAAGCATGTGTCATGCCTTTAAAACTGGATATATATATTTTTTACTTCAACTAATAAAGCAAACAGCCATTCACACAAAATGTGTTCATACTGCTCCATTGTTATACCAGACATTTTAAAGTGCTCATTAGATGATAAACTATCAATAAGCCAGAACAAAGGTAGAAAAACAGCAAATAAAAAGATGATCAAATACATATGAAATCTCAAAATATAAAATAATGTACAATACAATTATGAAGTAAGATAATATTTAAAGATAAGATAAGCTAGAACGTTATTGATCCTGCAGAAAATTGTTGTGCCAGAGTTTCAGTACATACACAAGGAATCACACAAGATATAAAAAAAATTGTTATGGAGCTGAACATAATGACAATAATACGACAAATAAATAAATATATAGACATGATAAATGTTAATATCCAGGTTGTAGGTGCAGGGTTTGGGTTTTCATTTAGATTTGAACACATCCAGCAGCTCCTGGTCCCTTTGCTCACTGGTTCAGAGAAAAAGGCTTAAAGCTGCACCTCGAAGCTCTTAGTGCTCTTTGATGCTGCTAGCATCCACCTCAGGACCCATAGAGTCACAGCTTGTCCGTGCACTTTAGGCGTGTTACAAATATAGTGTAAAGTGAAGAAATACATTAGAGTATAGAGCAATGGCTGTGCTTGTTCTCAGATTTGAACACCAAACAGTTTTAGCTGCACTCAGCAGATTATGTCCTTAAATATCAGCAGTGATGCTTTCTCTGCATTGAACTTAACAGCTAAATGCTAACCACATATTGTTGCTAAATGTTGTTTAGATTTGAAAAATCTGAAAGCTTTACATAGCTTTAGGTTTAACCTGTTCTTTGTTGTCAGTTTATCGATCCAAGACTTACTCAGACAGCAATACAGATTTTTGCAGAAAATCTAAACTTTGCTTAGTCTACTAGAATATCCAAAAGGACAAGAACTAATAGAACAAAGAGAGATAATGCATCCAGCTTTGACCCTTGAAAACCTCAATATCCTAATGATTTGTTGTCGTTAACTTTTACACATTCAGTGAAACTCCTCCATCAGCTCTTTCAACCTGCTCCTCAGGGACTAAGGCACATTATTCACCTCACCAGTCAGCTGTCCCTGCAGTTTCATGCACAGACTTTGCAATACGTCCACAGAGAGAGTTGACTGTAACAGCTCATCTCATATTTTTCATGCAAAGTTGCATAATTTGTTATGCTTTGAATATAAGCTGAGGACAACTCTCGACTACTACCACGCCAAATATTTGTGAAATATCCGTAAAATTAGCAGAGTTGTATTCTTTTTTTTTGTTTCCTAACATAAGTTGACTGTGGCAACCATCTTTAATCCGGTTGATTTTAAAGTTTAATCAGGTATAGATGCACGCCCAGTGATTGTTTTCTGAAAGTTTTATTAGCATCCATTCAAAGCGCTTTAAGATATTTTGCTAACAGACAGAGTTGACTCCAATTGTTATTGGCAAAGTTTTCAAAACGGATCTTGCTCAGTCAGTCAGAGCTCAGTGGATCTGTTGGGGGCAGGTATCAGCTACTACCACAACATTTCTGAGTTCAGTACGAGTCAGCCATTTTAAATGGGATTGACTAAAAGTTTTAGATGTTTTTTCCAATCTTTAATTTCTGAAAGTTTCGTGTCATTTTAAACAGTACAGATGCACACAGAGAAACGGACAAAAACATATTTACTCTGCCTTCTCCATAAGAAAAATGCTCATTTTAACCTGCATATTGTTGATGAAACAGCTTCCTCTAAAAACAAACAAACAAAAAAAACATAAAAAAAGAAAACAAGATGTTTTAATCTCTAATTAAAAACTTTAATTTGAATTAAATAAACTAATAAGTGATATTTTTGCAGAAAAAAGGCAACGCCTAGGTAATTCAGATCTTATAGAGAAATAAAGATAAAATTAATAAAGATAAATTCCTAAATATTCAAGCTTTTGTCTAAATATCTCCATATATGCATACAAATTGCACTTCTAAGTTATATATTTCCTGTTTATATTGTTTGAACACTGTCTACATAATTAAAAACTTGGTTTAGACCAAATATTGCATCACCATGGAGTCGGAAAACATTTAGACCCATCAACAAAAATGCACTTTCTGTGGTGTGTAAACAGCTGGTTTTGCACCAGAGCGAGGCCAGGGAGACTAAATAAATGTTTGTTGAGCTGCATTCACACACTCGTTAGTAACTGTCATCTCAAAGCCACCTTACAACTGGGTCAGATGGGGTGTGTGTGAGCTGGATTAGTCCCAGATGCTGAATGGAAAATCCAACTGCTCCTCGTAATGAACTGCAGGAAAATAAAGTTCTGGCAGTTGATGTTTTGAACGATTTGAACAGTTGAAACGCGTGAACTTTCCAAGCTTTAATGTGAAATAAAGCAGAAACTCAGTGGTGCACAGCTCAGTCAGAGCTCTCCTCTTGAAACTTCCTCAAATATATACTTTCTTCCTCCCTCTTCTCCTCCTCCGCCTCCTCCTCTGTGGTGCCACTGCACAGCCTGTGTGGCTGCCTTACCAGCAGGATGACTGGAGGAGCTGGGAGTGTGCACGTTGCAGCGTCTGTGTGTGTGTCAGCTGTAAAAGGGTGCCTCTGCTGACCGCCACAGTCATCATGTGCAGAGGAGACTTTCTCAGAATGCAGATGGAGTGAGCGGTCAGGGGAGAAAGTTTGTGGCACTTGGATGATTGGAGAACTCAATCTGCTCTGCACGCTCTGAGTCCATCCAGGAGGCGAGAAGCAGCAGCAGCTCAGGAACTGTTGTTGACTGACTGCCGGTCTCAGGAGTGGACACATCAGAGCTGAAGGATCCTGGCTCTTCATGAGGTGGGTGTGCCACTGTCTGAGGCTGTGTGCATTTATGTGTTCTAGTTTGCAGGTGATGAATTCATTCATCTATAATATAGCTTGTGTAATTATGGTACAATTGGTAAGCAGATTAATTAAGAACAAACTTCATTAAAATCCCGTGGTTTCATTAAACCAAAACTTTAAATCATTATGTTATTTTCCTAATGAGCTTCCATGTGATTTTCAAACAGGAACAATAGAATCTTTATATTTTCTTTCCATCCCAAACACACTAAAACTCAATTATTTAATGCTGATGCATGTGCCAAGATTACAAACAGTCAGAGCAGAGCTAAACTGAAAAAGTAGGCAAAAAAAATAAAATAAAAGGATGTTAACGCCAAGGTTAAATGGTTGATCAAATGTCATGGAGGATAGAAAATACACATATGCTGCCTGCGTCACTCTATCCTGTGTGTTAATGGAAGAGGAAAACGTGAAAGCAAATGGAGCCGAGGTAAAACCAGGGATGATGACCCCCCTGTGACAGGAATGTCTGCAACACCCAGGCTGTGCTGCTGGAAAGCCCAGAGATCAGGTTCCCCGTGTCAGCTGCTGCATGCGACTGTTCCCTGATCTAACTTTCAGATATCTGTTTATTCAGGGAGGAAAGAGGCGCCGGCGGACAGAAACTGCAATGTTTAGAAGCAAAGTCTGACATTTTGAGATCACGTTACAAGAAGTAGATGATTGCTTTGTGCCAGCCAATAGATATAAACATGGTCTGTTTCAATAATAATCCAATAAGCTTCCAAAATTAGCAAAGGCTTTGCAAAGAGTCACAAACAATCACATCTGTGATGGTACAAACATGGTATAAACACATTATAACAGTAAAAAAAAATATATCGAGATGATGAAGAAACATTTACTACTTCAACTTTCTGCATATATGCATTTCAATTTTGATTATTTTTTCTCATAAAGTTTGAAAAATCGCTAAGATGGTGAGGCCAAAGTCATTTAAAAGCTTCCTGCAGGGTACAGCAACACAGCTCTGAGTTTGTACTTTACAAAGTAAAGCCCATATCACTGCTGTTTATAGACAGTCTCATGATTTTGTGGAAGAATATGAGCTTTTGCGATGGTGCTACGCTAAAGCTTTCAAGTTTGTTGCCATTGGGAGGAAATCTGTTGTCTGCCCTGGGCTGTCAGCCAATCAGCATCTGACTCACGGAGCTACCAGCTGTCAGAACAATCATCTGCTTTAGCTAGACAATCCATCTTTTTAATTATATGACAGGTGAGAGCAAAAAATAAAGATGGACAGCTAAACTCTTAGGAGCTAGACAAATTCTGAACTCACCTTTAAGCAAATGATTAGGGAATCAAACATATACGAAAGCCTGCAAAGTCCATTGGTTGTGTGAAAACATCACAGGAGCACGTGGCTGTCCTCAATGTGTCGGGGTTTTCTGCAGGTGTACTTGATAAACAGAAGTCGTGGTTTCTACTGGACGCCACCCTTCATGCTCACAATAGGGAATTAATCAACTCCACTGAGTTTGTTGGCTTTCTTAGTTAAGAGAACATTTTACTGTGCGGCTTTGTTATTTTGACTAATTGTTAAACACTAAATCTGTCAGGACAGAATTAATTAAAATCATAATTGGATCAGATTGTTTTAAGTTGGCTCAGGTGTGCGTGATTTAATTTAAAATTTAATCTAACTACATTTGGTTGACTCCAGTTATTTTGGATCGAACTGAACTTTGCTTTCTGTTTTACACTTCTCTGCCTCATTGGGGGCTTCATATCTGCAGACAACTATTATTATCCACCCAACTTAGGTTTCTTAACTTTATTTATATCTTATACACTCTTCCATCAACTTTAATGCAGAATGAACCACAACATGTACCCAAATGTTATATCAACATGACCGGCTCGGCGCCGTGATGAGTTCTATTAACATGGCGACGTATTTTGCTAACAAAGATGCCATATTTAACCAAAGGAAATAATGAGATAACACTCGTCACACTAACTGCTGCTGTCAAGTCACATGACTTAGCGTGTAGAAGTCCCTGAAGGAAAGAGAAACTCACTGTTGGATTTGTTTGAAGCTCACAGAAAGCAATAATCGGATAAATGTCTAAAACTGATTAACATTTGGAGCCATTTTGATTCAAGATGGCTGCCACAGCTACCTCAGCAAACACAAAATTGGCCATAACGCGGTCATTCTTAGAGATATTGAGCTGGAATTTGGTGACGTTATAGCTGAAATCCAAATCAAAAATCCAAGATGGCTGCCTTAGCTATAAAGGAAACAATAACTCAGCCACTTGTAGAGCTATTCAACTCAAATTTGGTATAGTGGTAGCTGAGAGCGAACCCCAACACGTAGTACTGTCAAATCAGAATTTTAAATCGGCAGCAGTCTGGCAGTCCCCATCAAAGTTTCTCCAGGAACTTTCTAGTTGTGTGTTACTCTCCTCTACATTTGTGTTTTTACTGCTAAGTCCTTTCAGCTGAGAGCTTTTTTTGTGTGTATGCAAAAAAAAAAATCTTACGTTGCACCCTATAAGCTGTTGTCGGCAGCGTACAGACATTAAGAAAGGCAACATGAAGGGATGAAAGCACTCCAAGTAATCCAGCAGCAGACACAACAAGATGGGGAGCCACATTGTGCAGAAAGACTCGTGCACAAATAAAACAAAGACTGATTGAGTCTAAGCTTAGAGACTCACACAGAGATGAAAGCAAATGCTCACAGGAAAGAGTAGCAAGTAGACAGTAAAAGATGGCAAAAACAACACAGGTTTGCATACTTTCTCTGTTTTGTGATCAAACTAGTTGCTGCTGACCACTCTAACCTCCAGTGAATCATGTGTTTGAGCATGTGCTCTGCTTTTGGAAGTACAGCATGCAGATCTGTCTGTGCTGGTTGAATACCTCCAGATCAGTGCAGAACACCTGCTTCAGTTCCACTATACGCAACACTTCTTTTATTAATAGAAACAACCGCTTCTCTGATATGAACATTTAAATACAGAAAAAAAGCTTAACTCCTTCCTTCCTTCCAACAAGTCCTATTTTGTTTTTCCCCACACTTATCTTACGCAACCTCTGATTTTATCTGAGTAATGTTCTCATGCGTTCGCCGTATTTATAAAAAGTAGCCCCGTCAGCAGTATCGTTCCTTCGGCCGTAACAGTGAACACATGTATGACTCGGCGCCAGAGAAGTCTTGACTGTTGCCTGCTCAGACACACTGTGACAAGCGGCAGAAGAGAAAATGGAAAAGGAGAGAGAGCGGGGAGAACTAGAGTATCATTTTGGAGTTCAAACAAGCACACGTGGCGTCTAAGCTGGTGTGTAGACAAAATAAGCAGTGACTCAACAAGCAGCTTTTACTGGAGGACATTGTCTCCATGAATCAGTCCTTCTGTGTTCGTGGTATAACCCACCTCACCTCCTTTCATCTCAACCTGTTTCAATCCATCCATTCCCTTTATTGACTCACGGTGATCTGTGTGGGCAGTGACTGATGGGGAACTCACCCCTGTAATGAAGAATCGTCTCTCAGATCCTGACCTCCTGTAACCTCAGCCTGCGTTAAATCATGACGGACCTGAGTTATGTGTGTGTTGGATGATGCTATAGTGCACTTTTTCTAACGTGAGCAAGTGTTTCCATCTGTGGCCGCTTTCCAACCCTTCTTTGCTTCACATCCTCTCCAGTGATTAACGCAGCAACTGTGCAGCAAGGAAGTTGCTCGACTCTCACCTCTGTGTCTGTACAGCAGAAGTCAAAGAGCGACAGAGTACTCTCAGAGAGGCAGCCGAGGTTTATATTTGTCTTTGACGCGTGTGGTTGGTGGCCCTACGCTGTGCCAGCAGTAGAAAGGGGAAGTTACATGGGGATATTTAAAGGGCTGACAGCACTGACTGACAATGTGAAGAACTCGTTTCATTTTTTTTTGTTGTTTTTGCAGTTGCATCTCGCTAAAACAGCGAGAATACTTTTTTTTATTTTTACATGATTTATATGTTGTAATATTTACAGATTTTTTTTTCTTGGCACATTAGTTGACATACTTTTCTGTTTTATTGTAAACTGATGTATGTTCAAGTAATTTAAAATACATTTGGTTTCTGTCTGTGTTTGAGCTGATTAATTACCCAGCTTATGTGTCATGAGTTAATCACCTCTGTAAGGTTCTCCAGCTCTTATTTCAGCACCAGGTGATAATTTGCTCAGAATCAGCTACATTTCTCACAAAAACTCAGGTCACACAGCTGGCCTGAGATAGTTTGTAATGTATGAGGCTCTTCTTCTTCTATAGACAGGAAGGAATTGAGTTCATTTGACATGCTGGCTAAAATGGAATTAAACAAGGAAAGGGGAGCATTTTTTTAATCAGACAGTGCGGGACCCACCATTTGTTTCTATTATAACTAATAAGAAAGTTATGAGTTAGATTACATTAATGTTTGATGAAGAACATCAAAATCAGAGTATTATTAACAGACAGGGCTTGTTTTACTTTCACCAGTCTCTTTAAGCACTAAAGTGGAGTTTTATAGCTTCAACTGCACAAACAACTTCACAGAAAATTTTATCAGCCGAAACAGCCCAAATGATATGTACAGTACGCCTGGCATGGAAGTCACAACTAGATCTCCCACTTGTAAGATCATCTTACATCCTCTAATCTAATTACTCACATGGTATTCAATTGTCTATTCTGTTGCTGCAGTCTTTCAGAGCCTGGATCGCCCAGATCCTGCTTTTGCTTGTGGCCAAGACCAAGAGAAGAGGGCGATAACGTAACTGTAAAACATCTTGTGAGCCTCTAGATGGGTTTTAATAAAACAATTCAAAAATAATCATAAACGTTGGCATCTACTATGTCTAAATGAGGATGGCCACTACAGACAACAGATCTTATAAAACACAAATAAATGAGTATAGTTCAGTCAACTTTACAGATATTGACATAAATGTTGGTGTGGTAGAAGCTGAGACCT